CCGCAGAGGAGGAATTACCGTATCTTTTTTTAACTAAAGTTTTTTTCAAGCTTTGATTGGTCTGGGGGTTTGGTTTTTTTGTTGTTGTTGTGTGTTTGTTTTTTGTTTTGACGTAGGAGGGAGAGGGAATCTATCGCTGCGATTTTAAGGGAAGTTATGAAAAACAAAGCCCCCAATAAATTGTGAAAATTAATTTTTCTGAGTCCTCTGTCGAACCGCATAGTCACTGGGGTCTATTTTGTTGTAGCTAATCTCTAACGTGGCACAGCGAATGGCTGTTTGGACTGTATTTAGGGTAAGTTTGCCTGTATACGTTACTATCGTTAACAACAGGTATGTAGGCAAAGCAAGTGGCCTCTGGTCAAGTGGGGAGTATGAACTAGTGGTTCAGTAGGCATCTCTGTACGAGTATTTTTTTGTCCCTGTTCTGCCATGTAACTGTTAGTCTTTTCTGCCATAACAAAATTTTCAACTGATATTATTCTTGATTTCAGGTGGACAGGTGCAAGCTATAGGTAGTTAAGCTTGCTCTCTACTTTCAGTGGAAATCAGCTGCTTGATATCTTTCACAATTGTTGTTGTTGTTTTTTTAAATAGGTCTACATTTTTAGTAAGTTTTAAGTACACTTCTGTGGTGGGTTGACCCTAGCTGAACACCAGGTGCCCACCAAAGCTGTTCTATCACTCCCCCCGCCCAGCTGGACAAGGGAGAGAAAATATAACAAAGGGCTCATGGGTTGGGATAAGGACAGGAGAGATCACTCACCAATTACCATCACCGTCAAAACAGACTTAGCTTGGGGAAAATTAACTCAATTTATTGCTAGTCAACCAGAGTAGGGTAATGAGAAATACAACCAAATCTCAGAACACCTTCCCTCCACCCCTCCCTTCTTCCTGGGCACAACTTACCCCCTGAATGCTCTACCTACCCAGTGGCGCAGGGGAATGGGGTTTATGATCAGTTCATCACACATTATTTCTGCTGGTTCATCCTCTTCAGGAGCAGGACTCATCACACTCTTCCCCTGGTCCAGCGTGGGGTCCCTCCCACAGGAGACAGTCCTCCACGAACTTCTCCAACGTGGGTCCTTCCCATGGGCTGCAGTCCTTCACAAACTGCTCCAGCATGCGTCCTTTCCACGGTGTGCAGTCCTTCAGGAGCACACTGCTCCAGCGTGGGTCCCCCATAGGGTTACAAGTCCTGCCAGAAAACCTGCTCCAGCATGGGCTCCTCTCTCCACAGACCCGCAGGTCCTGCCAGGAGCCTGCTCCAGCGCGGGGTTTCCACGGGGTCACAGCCTCCTTCGGGAACCCACCTGCTCCTGTGTGGGGTCCTCCTCGGGCTGCAGGTGGGTATCTGCTCCCCCGTGGACCTCCCTGGGCTGCAGGGGGACAGCCTGCCTCACCATGGTCTTCCCCATGGGCTGCAGGGGAATCTCTGCTCCAGCATCTGGAGCATCTCCTCCCCTCCTTCTGCACTGACCTGGGGGTCTGCAGGGCTGTTTCTCTTCTTACATGTTCTCACTCCTCTCTCTGGCTGCTGTTTTTGTTTGTCCCAGCAACTTTTTTTTCCTTCTTAAATACAGCCCCCCCCAGCCCCCCGCTACCAAAACCTTGCCACACAAAGCCAATACAACTTTGCAAAACGTTCCTTTGGTCACTGGACAAAATCCAATCTCATCTTAAGGTCTTGTCATCTAATTCTTTTGTCTGACTGACTTGTCTCATTTTTCTTGAAGGGAGGACTTCCTTATTTTGAAATTCAAACTTACTCTAATTAGTACCAAAAATAAATAAAATGGAAGCATCTTTCTGACAGACCACTTTGCAAGTAACAGCAGAGTAATGGACATTGTGAAACTTGCATGGCAGGAGTTCGAGAGTTACAGACCCTGGGCGCACTTGTTTGTCTCTAGAGCTTCTGGAAGTGCATGCAACAGGTAAGAGGTAACTAGGGAAGTTGACAATCGGACCTTTTAGCTCCAGACTGGGTAGGTGAGTTTCCAGCTGGCATAATTTCTACAGCAACTTGGCTACAATTGAGTACCGGAGCTTTTAAATTCATATGATGCAACAGGTTCTGGTTAAAAGGTCTATCATAATTTTATTAGTACTACATTCCATATTGGATGTACCAAACCTGACCTGGAATGGAGGGGGGGGTGGGGTGAAAGAGGGACATCAATAATTGTTTTGCAGTCAGTTATAAGTATAAATGAGTTTTAAAATATTCACTATAAGCTGAGTTTTCTCCTTGGTAAGCCACTATTAACAGAACCTATATTTAGCACCTTGCTTGTCTGAAGAAATATAAATTTGGACTGCAGAATTCTATCCCTATTTAGTAATATTGATTCATCAGAGCTATAAAATGCCATATACAATATTTTATGAGAACAATTCGTAATGATAGGTTGTGTGGAATTAAGAAATTATATAATATGTTATAATGAAATAACTTTCCCTAATCCATTATTGTATTGCTCCGTCTCAGTTTTTTTAAAACTCCTGAATTAATAAGAGCACAAGATTTTTATTACCTATACTAGGTCAGGGTCATTAGTCCATTTACTTCGTTATTATGAGAACTAAACTCTGCTACTTCTGGAAAAAGCTTCTTTTCCTCTTAAAAGATACATTCCTGAGAGCTGACAAATTGGTAGAAGAACATTGTATCTGTTGTTTCTTTTTTACTTTGAAGTTTGGTTGGTTTTTTTTTATCGTATCGCCTTATTTTTCCCAGGTTAATAGTAATAAAATATTAATATTTAGGTTCCCCCCCCAGTGTAATTACAGTTGATATGGAATTACAGTGCCAAAAGGAAGTTTTAATAAATTCTAAATTTAAGAACCTTGTTTCATTATATAATTTCATTTCTTGTTTTCAGTTAATTGGAAAAGATGGTCATTTCCCATGTCACTTCCATTTCAAAATTTTCAATAATTGATTAAACTCATGTAATTTTTTTCTGGATTAAATAAATTAAATTTTTTGAGTTTTTAATCACATTTAAATCCATGTATTATTCATGGTTTGGTAGCCATACTTCATTTCTATGCACTGTTGTGTTTTTGCATTATTTTTCTCCATTTTAATATATCTCAGCATAATTTGCTTCTTAAACTGGTTGCCTTAGAGTTGGAAAACACCTTATTTGACAGACAAATGGTGGCATAATTAAAGCACCTCACCCTTCTTTACTTTGGCTGCTATCATCACATGAAATCTCTCAACCTGTAGGCATTTGGGGGTAGCCTTGTGGAGATACTGTGTTCTGATAAACTCCAGATCATACCTGCTCTCACACCATCGCTTTTGTCATTAGCTGGGTCAAGAGGAATCTTGGGATGTTAAAGGTTGTGTTAGTGTGGCACAGCTGGATGCAATGTTTTTGTAATGGGTCTAAAATGAAAGAACTCTGGAGGGTAAGCAGAGAAGGAAAGCAAGAGCATATTAGGATAAGGTGTTTGGTATATAATTTACTGTCATCTGGCGTAGTCTGGCTGACAACAGTAAGAGTGCAGGAATAGCACTGAAGAGCTAAGTTCTTGGAAGGAAAAAAAAAAAAGTGGTTTAAATGTGTGCCTGTTGGTTCTTTCAAAGTAGCTACTTCAGCCTGAGTTTATTACAAGGTCAGAAACTATGTGTACAAGGTTTGGTTTTGGTTTTTTTTTTTTTTTTTTAAAGTATGAGTCAGTGATCACAGAAGCTATGCAGGTGTAGAAATTGTATTACTTAATCGCTTTTTTTTTTACACCTAATGCCAAGGTTGCTTGTTTTGCTTATGCATTTTCTGTCAGCTGCTTTGTTTCTCTTTTAGCAGTGCTATGGAGTTCCGAGCTGCTAAGCTGTAGAGGTAGGGGGACATGAAGCACCTGGGAGACCGGCAGAACAGCTGTGAGGAAGGCATGCGAGGAGCATGGAATGGTTGGCAGAAAGGGAAGTATCTTTTCTAAAAATTGAGACAGTAAGCCATTAAAACTGCTGCTGCAAAGGACTCTGTTGAAAAGGGGGGGGGGGAAGTTTAATTGAAAGAATGGAGGGGAAACCCTGTACAATGAGAAATTAAATAAATGGAAAGGGTTTTCACATTGTACCTACACAGAAAGGCGGGTAGATTGTATACATAAGTATAGTTATTAGCCAAAGTACTCCTATTTTCCATATGTTCAGATGATAATCATATCATTGGGAAATGAGCAGTACTGTACAGAATGCTGTTGGAAGTGTTTTGTAATTTGGATATGAAAAAAGGCACAGCTTGAGTAATCAGGACTAGTGTGTGGATATATGATAATCAAATTTAAAACAATATCTGTTTTCATTCCTATGTGGATTTAGTTTAGTGGGAATTTTAAAATAACATTAATTATCAATGTCAGAGGACATTTTACGATTTTTATTTTACTTACCAGTTTTTTAATGTTTGGACTACTTTCTACATAGAAGAAGGGAAAAAGAACATTCACTCGCTTGCTTTGTTCACATTGCCTAGTCCATTTATGTCCTAAACAAAAGCTCTCAAATACTATTAGAAGTGGTGAATATAAGTTTTGATCACAACTTGCAACACTGATCTGCAAGCTGTGTATCCATGGTGATATGCCT